GTCACGTAGCCCACATAGAATGCACGAATGCCAGCAGTGGAAACCTTCACTTAACCAGCTAGCTAAACCGTCACTAACAGTACTAAGGTGGTTGGTTTTCGTATTTTTGTTAGCGCATGTGGTGATGTGCATGCGAGATAAAGGGAGGACCAAACCTCTGGTTTATTCCGGTCGAACAAGCGTCACAGGTGACATCGACAGCATAATCAAACGGATGGTCAATTTGGACAGCGTATACGTGGTGTTACCAGTAGTTAATACCTACACAAGGTGTACCTCAGCATTGGTAGGATGAACTAAAATTGGGCCCATCTACTTTCAAATTGCACCTAAGCCACAAATGAGCGCAGCATTTAGGCTGTGTTAGCTAGTCGTAAAATTTGCGTCAGGCGACGAAACATCATACTACACGTATAGCACGGTTCATATTATTACGCACCTTATTCACATTCGCTAACCGCTGACATTCAGTATACCATTTACGTGGACAACCAACCAAACTGAAACATTGACCCCACTATCAAAGTTGCATTGTGGGATGCGGTGCATTTGTCCCAAAGACAGTGATAAGCAATGTGAAATGAGCAGGTGGCAAATTGGTTTCTCTATATACTTGGTTCATCTATAGCCCGGATGCAAAATAATTTTTCCACGGAGGTGTAAGCAGTGTAAACAAAACCAGGGTAACTGTAGTATTACCAACTTACCTTCACTTTCGGCTACATATCAAGTTTTTTTACGTAAGATTAACGCACGATTTCACAAGGATACCGCTTTGACGTATGTAACTTTGACGGTTATATTAGATAAAGAGAATTGATTCGTTGACTACAGATACAGCATAGTGTGACCACTATCTGAGTTACAGCAGACTATGTGGAGCCTCCTGAGTGTACCAGGTGATTGAAAACCACAATTGGTTAGATAAGTAGACACGTCCATCTAGAAACCCAAGCACCCTTCGCCGCACGCTTCGTTTGTTATTCGGTCATTTGGGCTTACTGCAGCATACCTAAAATAACACAACTATCCGTGCAAGTGCGATTACCTTTAGCATAACTGCGACGAGGACAATTTCCATCCCTTTTCTCGGTAATTTGATTATGCATCATCGTCTGTGACAGTAATGAAAGAACAAATGTCGCCTACTGACCACACAACACTGAGTGTTTTTTTAGCAGTGTTATGCCTAGCCAAAGTTTCCCTTTTCAGTTTACTAGGCGCCTTTTGATCCACCAAGATCAGTAAAGCGCCGCAAACCACTTGGTCACAAAGTAAGCCTTGTTCGCATGTTGGACTAGTCATTGCCCAGCTAAACTTCCTCATCTATCCAGCATGCACAGAACACAGGATAGCAGCACCGCATGCACTGCTATCATATTCATGACTAGAACCAGTTGTTTCATGTACATCGTGTTCATTCATTTGCACTCCATATTTCCGTCTGATCATTCGCAAACAAACGACTTGAAAAAAATTGGCCGCAAACACGTTCCGTGGTGTACGTCAACCGATATTTTTTATGCGTTCACATGAGAATCCTTCCCCGGGAAACCAAGAAACTGAACAAAAGCATGGTTGCCGCCAAACTTCAAACGATGCACAGTACAGGGGTCCAAAATATGACAACCCATGCGCTGCCAGCAACAAACATCCAGGCTAGTTACCATGCGGGGAAGCATTAACCACGCATTTTACTGTCCACGTTGAACATTGTATCCTAGAGTTTCCGGAGGAGAACATGGACGACAGTGAGCAATAATTTACAAATTCTATATCACTCTTCCAATTAGCAAGCGGTAAAAATTGTGAAGCCACAAGCACCGCATATAACGCACGTCCTAACCCATTAGTGTTTTATTTATCCCTATGTGGAGCCTCCTGAGTGTACCAGGTGATTGAAAACCACAATTGGTTAGATAAGTAGACACGTCCATCTAGAAACCCAAGCACCCTTCGCCGCACGCTTCGTTTGTTATTCGGTCATTTGGGCTTACTGCAGCATACCTAAAATAACACAACTATCCGTGCAAGTGCGATTACCTTTAGCATAACTGCGACGAGGACAATTTCCATCCCTTTTCTCGGTAATTTGATTATGCATCATCGTCTGTGACAGTAATGAAAGAACAAATGTCGCCTACTGACCACACAACACTGAGTGTTTTTTTAGCAGTGTTATGCCTAGCCAAAGTTTCCCTTTTCAGTTTACTAGGCGCCTTTTGATCCACCAAGATCAGTAAAGCGCCGCAAACCACTTGGTCACAAAGTAAGCCTTGTTCGCATGTTGGACTAGTCATTGCCCAGCTAAACTTCCTCATCTATCCAGCATGCACAGAACACAGGATAGCAGCACCGCATGCACTGCTATCATATTCATGACTAGAACCAGTTGTTTCATGTACATCGTGTTCATTCATTTGCACTCCATATTTCCGTCTGATCATTCGCAAACAAACGACTTGAAAAAAATTGGCCGCAAACACGTTCCGTGGTGTACGTCAACCGATATTTTTTATGCGTTCACATGAGAATCCTTCCCCCGGGAAACCAAGAAACTGAACAAAAGCATGGTTGCCGCCAAACTTCAAACGATGCACAGTACAGGGGTCCAAAATATGACAACCCATGCGCTGCCAGCAACAAACATCCAGGCTAGTTACCATGCGGGGAAGCATTAACCACGCATTTTACTGTCCACGTTGAACATTGTATCCTAGAGTTTCCGGAGGAGAACATGGACGACAGTGAGCAATAATTTACAAATTCTATATCACTCTTCCAATTAGCAAGCGGTAAAAATTGTGAAGCCACAAGCACCGCATATAACGCACGTCCTAACCCATTAGTGTTTTATTTATCCGCTTGGTTAGCGAAAACAAACCACAATAATCAGCCAGTTACCTGGTAGATGTGAACATTGCATACAGGATTTCCCGTCCAATTATTTCCGCTTGGTTAATTGAATGTTTCCACTGCCGGCATTCGTGCATTCTATGTGGGCTACGTGACCCCACTGTGTCAGCGCACTGAGACAATGAACGCCATCGGTGTGTTACTCCTTCGCTGGGTTCGCCAAGCGATACCACGTACCACGCAAATATTGTACATTTAATTTTTTGTCACTTTCTATCAGGCGTGCTATAATCAATGATTTTAGTCACGGTGTTCTTAGATTACGTGGCCCATGGGGAGCGGGACTTTTAGCCAATGTAACCTTCGTTGTTCTATGTGAAGCGCCAGAGTTTCACCTAGTTTGTTACAGGTAGACTCCGTATTTGCCAACGGCATAACATTTCCCACTGCGTAAACTCCGGCGACTCGCACGGCTGACACATGCCCAACGTATTCACATTAAGTACAATAAATGCACCTGCAACGCACAGTGAAACCATGCTGCGCCAGCCCACCAGACGTACACATTATAACTTAGCACACCATTTCCGCTCACACTTGCGTTTGAGTCACCTTATTTGGTAGGCGTAACACGCAATAGCTGACACTTAGAATGTCAAATCAGCCTATTTTATTATCTGCATTCCGGGTTGAAAATGGACGCGATGCCAGTGCTGACAACGTAAATCCGTGATAACTAAAGCGCAACCCAGCTACAATGTATAACCATGCAGTCATAAGAGAGATATTTATTGTGCGCGACCAATTCGTATGAGAGATAACAAGAGGAATTTCATTTCACTGGTGTTCTGTTCCTCGGCCACTGGACATCCACGAAACACTCAGTTATATTTTCATTCCCGTTTCTTCTGGGCCGACCAGCATCCATCCTGTGGGGTTTGGTTTTATGCGGTGTATCTATTGAATTTTGGTGCGACTGAACGTCTCGTTGACAAAGGTTCCATATTTTACGTTACATTTCGTTTGATCGCTGAATCCATTATTGGCCGTTAATGTGCATGCGATGTACTCAAGGTTGTCTCCTTAAATTTCTTTACGGAATTTCCGGAATACATATCCAATGTACTCCAATCATCCGCATTTGCTTTGTGACTTTCCAGAATGTGACCCCTCTCTGTTACGTCCGTGCTACCACGAGCGGCGTTCGTCAATCTGCCAGCAGCACCCCAAGGGTACGTCGCATGAGGGTTACCTAAGTGGCACTTACATGTGATTGGTTTTCTGCATTAGCGGAATATAAACAACATGTGGCTACCAGGAACGTCATTGGCCCCGCTGGCATTCGCAGACCCTAACTACACCTTGCATCGGGGTTCCCTTAGCGCCACTCGCTTCTGATTGGTCTGCAACTTTGATGCAGTATATAATGCAGAATATTATTATACATGCTACACATAAGTTAAGCACGAGTATATAGGTATTCAATTTCGGTTACTACTGTTGCAACTTCATATATATTTAAAATTGCATCCAATCTTGAATGACCGCCTTCCCGGTTAACAATTCAAATGGACCACCCTTTATTGGGCTGGTGAAATTGAACCCCATTTCAGTTTTACAAGATATCTATATTCTCCGTTTTCCTTACCACGCAAATCGTTTATAACGCTCTAGTTATACTATTTTTGTACCAAATCCGTGGGCAGCTATATATTGTTTTAATTCATGAGTTTGAGACGCGGTTTCGTTCACGCGTTGACTGTTGATCCATATCGGCTTTGCTTGCCTTTTGGAGTACCTCACCGTTTGTCGAAAACCGTTGAGGTTTGTGATTTTGTATTCCGTGTAACTACTTTCATTTTTTATGTACAGCACATTTGCGTAGCCATTCGTTTGGAGTTTTGCCGGTTTGGTTCCTAACCTTGGTGCTCGTTGCTCAAGAATTCGAAATGGTCGTTACAGTACTCAACGTTGGCAAGCGTGGTTGTCTGGATGCCAATCACCAGGTCAATGTCGGTCAATTCAAAACGAGAAGAATTTGAGAAAGAAAGTCTGCAAGTCGGACACGGTTATTTTTCAGCGATGAGCTCTAAGGCTAGTATAGCCTCCAAGTTTTGTTGGGGGAAATCGGGGTCCGAAGCTGCTCTACTGTTGGCACAGCTTAAAGAGAGACAACTTAAAGAGGAAATCGAGCTTGAGTCAGATGCAATGAAAACTAACCATATAAAACAACTCCTAAAGGCTAAAGCCGAGGTAGAGTTGGCTGAGCTGGAAGCTTCGTTGGCTGGAAGCGAAGACGGCTTAGAGCAGTGCAACCAGACAGGTTTTTTAAAGTCCTCAAATAGTCGCCTCAAAAGCTATGTTGATGACTGCAGAAAGATGGTAACGCCATTGAACTCTGAAAATCGACATAGTCTCGGAGTAGGAAAACCAAAGCATAATGCATTAGGTGACTTCCGTCATCTGGAATCCATTATAGAGGGCCTGGAGTTGCCTAAAATCGGCCTCATGCAGTTTGATGGTCAACCCAGGAGCTATTGGAGGTTTATGCGTCAATTCCAGCTTTACGTCGAATGCAAGACCCAAGACAAGTGAGAGGCTAGTACAATTGGTGAACGCGTGCTCCGGTGTAGCCAGGGAGGCTATCGAAGATTGCCTCATGCCTCAGCCTGCGGAAGGATACGAACGAGCCCGCCGCATTCTGAACAAGTCTTTCGGAAGGTCTCGTGTGGTTGCTAGAGCCCTGATAGATGATATGATTAAATGTTTTCGTTCTACCTCGTGTAAGGCAAGAGGTCTGACTCAGTTGGCCTTCAAGATGCAGAGTTGCAAAATAGCTCTGACTCAGATGAACTACAGTGCAGAACTGAGTTTCCTGGAGAATTTGGATAGGTTAGTGAGGTGCTTGCCCAATACTTTACAACACAAGTGGGCGGAATTCGTTTACCAAACCACTCATGATCGGGGAGAGCCAACCTTCGCCGACCTCACACAGTTCCTTACTCAAAGGACGAGAGTGCTAATCAGTCGTTACGGCCTTCTGGCAGAATCCGTTACGCAGAAGGACCAAGGTGTACGTGGCCAAGCTGTTACAGATGTAGGCAAGAGCAGAACCGCTTGGAGTCATGCGATCGTTTGCTCAGATCAGGCCCCACTGTTGAGCGAGATCAGTTGTAAGGTTTGTGGTGGTGAACACCGTATCAGCAACTGTGAGCGCTTTCTGTCCTTCGAGCCAGTGGAAAGATGGTCCACCTTAAGGTCTCTCAATGCCTGTTTTCGGTGTCTTGAAGGCGGCCACAAAGCGAAGGACTGCCAACTGCAATATCGATGTGGGGCGGATGGATGCCGAGCCAAACACCACGCTCTGCTACATTCGAAACCACTAGATAAAAAAGCAGAGTTAGTTCCTGTAGTCAAAAGCAATGCAATGACTGACCGCAGGACGGCTGTTTCCCTAGGACTACTTCCAGTTCGTCTGAGAGGTCCTTCGGCAGAACTGATCACGTATGCCTTCTTAGACAGTGGGTCCGATACAACTATCGTATGTCATAACTTGCTGCACCAACTCGGCATAGAGAGTCATCGAACGCCGCGTGAAATACAGACAATCAGTGGATCTTGTTTAGCAGTTGGAGAATCTGGAAGTTTCGAGGTGTGTCCACTTCACGGTGATGAGGTTGTTTTAGTGAAAGGTGCTTCAGTAGTATCTGAAATCCTCCCATCATTAGTCGTGGATTCACGCTCGGAAATCGCAAGTCGCTGGGGTCACCTGAAAGAATTGCCCTTTGAGGATATTCCTTCTAAATCGGTTGGTATATTGATTGGCTGTGACGTTCCAGAAGCTCACTGGGTGCTAAATCAGCGTTTGGGAGGTCGAAAAGAGCCATTTGCCGTGAAGACACCGCTGGGTTGGGTTATTCTTGGGCCAGTGGGTCCAGGTAATCGTGTGGGAGTCGCCGCCAGCTGCCTGTCGTCAGCTGAGCTGAAAGCGGGCCCAGCAACTATTAACGTTATTTCTACTCGAAGTGTTTCCGAGCGTTTGTTTGCCCGATGGTCTAGCTGGTTTGTATTGTTGAAATCAGTTGCATGGTTGAGGCGCTTCATCCACTACATCATGCACAAATTTGGAAGGTCTGGCGTCATGCCGTTTATAGGTCACCTACAAGTGAAAGAATTGACCGAATCTCGGGTGGTCGTTACCCGTCAGGTTCAAGCGGAAGTATACAGTGATGAGTTAACTCGTTTAAACCCATCGCATTGCGATTTAGAAGAGTGGCTCACCCGACGTTGGAAACAAGTGAAGTATTTGTCGGAAGTTTTCTGGAACAGGTGGATGAAAGAATACATTCCAACGCTTCGGTTACGCCATAAGTGGTTAAGTCGGAACAGAAACCTCAGGGAGGGTGAGATCGTTATGGTAGTGTCCGAACATCTCTCTAGAGGAAGGTGGCCGCTGGGTATTGTCACCGAATGTCAAACGGATGCAAACGGCCTCGTCAGAACGGTTTCCCTCCGCACTAGCTCCGGTGTCATCAAGCGCGATGTTAGGACCCTATGTTTGCTGGAAGGGGAGGACTAACGAGGGGGTACGCAGGTTTAGGGATGCTTCTTGATAGACGTATTAGAACAGCCGAGTTTTAGTTCAGCGTGATATCGTGGGTAGGCGTGTGTACCGTTGAAACCGGCCTTTGTGGCAGGAGTGGACTCGGACCATTCAGGTCGGTGGCTAACGTTGCATGCTTGTAGGCTAGAGCTCTCCTGATAACTTACCTGTTCGCTTACTGACCGTCGGAGGAATTTTGGCCGGCGGTGTTGCAACTTCATATATATTTAAAATTGCCTCCAATCTTGAATGACTGCCTTCCCGGTTAACAATTCAAATGGACCGCCCTTTTTTGGACTGGTGGAATTGAACCCTATTTCAGTTTTACAAGATATCTATATTCTCCGTTTTTCTTACCACGCAAATCGTTTTTACCGCTCTGGTTATACTATTTTTGTACCAAATCCTTGGGCAGCTATATATTGTTTTAATTCATGAGTTTGAGACGCGGTTTCGTTCACGCGTTGACTGTTGATCCATATCGGCTTTGCTTGCCTTTTGGAGTACCTCACCGTTTGTCGAAAACCGTTGAGGTTTGTAATTTTGTATTCCGTGTAACTACTTTCATTTTTTATAGTACAGCACATTTGCGTAGCCATTCGTTTGGAGTTTTGCCGGTTTGGTTCCTAACCTTGGTGCTCGTTGCTCAAGAATTCGAAACGGTCGTTACAACTACATGTTCTAAGGCTTGTGGTAATAGTATCAGCCTTGAATTATTCTATTTCCATTTCCTTTTTCCTTTACGTGACCCTGGCAATTTGCTCAGCTGCTCAAGTTCGCTCACAGCCAGGAACGATTTTTCAGTTTTAATTCAATTCAGCGAGCTTGCGAATTGTCAGGTGCTGCTTCTACAGCCAAGCGTTTTGGTAAGCACTGTGATTGGAAAGAACGTAACCTAACAATGACGTACTCAGCAGGAGCGAAAACTGTCCAGTGGGGCAGTAGGGAGTTCTGCACGCAACAGAAAGTGCAAGCCAAAGGGTGCGCTGAAGTGTAAGTACGGGCAGTCAGTCTGAGTTGGCCGCATGGAGAGATAACGGCCCAGAAAACAACAAGTTCGTTTGGGAGGTAAGGAAATGTGTTTGATCGGCGGCGTGATACGACGGTTCACCTCACGTGATCAAACGGATTGCGCGCTTATGTCCGCCTTAAACAAACCTCTCCAAGTATTACCTGACGGCGCCCAGTATTCGCAAAATGGAATAGAAATTTCGAAGGATAGGAGTATCAGTGCAATATTTTGAATCCTATCCAGGCATCCCTTGTTCTCAGCGATGTTGAGGAATTATTTCACAAGACTTTTCGCCATGTGGCATGATTGCTTCAGTGGACGATGAGAGTTTTTATGCTGCAAAACTTTAGGAGTAGAATAAAGTGGTTTTTGGTTTAAGCACACAGACAAAAATGCGATACTGGCGCAAAATGTTATACTTCGCTTTCAAAGGTTCTGAATCTAAGAGCATTGTGCGGCTACTGGGCCACCAGTTGACAAATGCGTTGTATTGGTAATACAAAATAAACCCTTGCGGGTGTCGAATCGGTGTGGTGGACAACACGTTCGCCCACATCTGAGGAGCTCTCGGTTTGACCCCGGCCGATTAGTTTCTCTGTCTGAGGGGACTCTCGACAACAGCTAGAACCGAAACGAATTTGCAAGCGATGACGGACGAGCAGAAAAATAATGAAAAAATGCCTGGGGCGTAGGCAGAGCTCAGGCAAGAGCGGAACCGAAGAAAAAGCAGCAAGGAAACAAAACGGCGGTATATTAAACGGGCGTAAATCACGTTACTCATGAGTAGCCAGAAAACAAGAAAAGTTACCCTTGTTCACCGCTGATTCACAGGAGGAATCAATAGATACTCAATTTGCTTCCGTTGTTCCCTTCAAGTTTGGTCCAGATCACAACTGAGTTATCGTTTCTTCCCGCAAAAAGCACCACTGACACATTTTTGAGACAAAACGTGTCATGTGCTCCCAATTTGAATTATCCTATCTCCATCTCCACTTTTGCTCGTTGTGACTCCGGCCATTTACCTAACTACCCAAGGTCACTCATGGCCAGCAATGGTTTTCAATTTTAGTTCATGTCACCTGACTGTCTTTGATCTAGTCGAACCTCACGCCCATTTTTCCCAACAAATTGGGAAATATCCTATTATTACTATATCATCGGGTATTCCCCACTGTTTATGACATTGTCCTCTTTTTGTGCAATCCGTACCCGGACAAATCCCCCAGTCATGCTCCATTCTGACTGTAAAACCATGATCATGCCAGGCGGCATGTCACTTACAAGTTGGGAATATACATTATTGTTATCATTATTATCCTTAATCAAAACCTCGGTTAATTACAGTTAGCAGGCGCTTAATTGGAAACCAACTTCGCTGTTGATATTCCGTTTTTATTTTCATTTCGAAAGTGTATTTTTTTCGAAGGGAGCCAGGTTTGCCTTCTAACCTGCTTCAACCACTTATTCCTAGATAATTATTTTACGAATGCTGATCATCTTCGGTCAGAAAAATTGGACCATCTTATACGACAATAAGAGCCAAATTCTGTTACTGTGTTCAGAATCACAATATCCTCTAATCGGGTATTCATTGACGGCTGTGACGTAGAAGTCGTGAAGGTAGATGGTTCCAATAACCCCCCAAGAGGTCTCTGAGGAGCGATGAGCTACTCTGTCAAAATGTTGAAAAACACGTTCTTCGTGCCAGATCAATGTCATATAATTCAACTGTCAGTTTTGCCGAAGGTTCTGCAGTAAATGGTGGCTCCTCGTCAGACTGTGACACGGAGGACTCGTATGATGTTGGGTCGCTGAAATCGATGGCGGATGTGCTCCTTCACTTTGAAATCAGAGTTCCATCGATATGGCTGCTGGCCTGGTTGCTCCGAGCCAACTTATGCGCGACAACTACGAGAGGCGAAAACAACTCATCCGATCATCTTGTGAATTCCGTAAACCTTGTGCATCTCTTGAGTTCGGTTTTCCAGCAGCACGTGCGACACCGGCAAGATTTTCCCGATCAAGAGTGATAGTGATTGTCCTTAGCCGTCTCAAGAATTACTCATTTCAAGTTGATTCACCTGGACAACTGATGTTCTGTGTGCTAATTCTGGTTAAACGACGGGATCTGCCGAGCGACTCATGATGCCGGGTGACTCAAACTTCTACATCAACCATCGGTGACGCAAATGTTAGAGCAGACCTACGCGTTCTTTATCTAGTGTTTATCCTTAAGAATTGTGGTGTCTATGTAAGTCGGCTATTTTGATAACACCAAGCAAAGTTTCTTTTACCATATTAAAGTCGACCGCTACCAAAAAGTGCATAGGCACTGTAGCCACGGAGAGTCACAAACACTGTACTATGCGCCCATGGAGTTCAATTACACGGTTCGTCGAATCATCCAGCTCTCAGGTTTGGGCTGCGTTCTTCTTGGAATGTTGACCTGAAGTTGAGTGGATGGGTGCCGCGAGTTCTTAACCGTTAACTACCTTGTTCAATAAACAAACTAAATTCAGCTTATCTGTTACCACGTATCGTTCGTTCCACAAACACACAAATAACCCAAAAAACTGTCAAGTCTGCAACCCTGACCGGCAACAAGTATGCTGCGATTTCTCATCCATTTTGGTAACGTGGCCATCAGCTGCATTACGTGCCAGATTTAGGACCTAAACCAACGCCAGATTAAGTTGTGCAAGATTAACCGTCTGTATCTGTTGAACGGGAATAGCCACCCTACATTTCACACTGTATCCAACAGTTATGCGTGCGGCATGGAGAAGCATTTACATGTTGGGTGAAACCCAGGGAGCGGAGGGTGTTTCGGCCTACAGCCAATAGAGGAGAGTTTGCCAGACAAACACTACTGGAGAACATCACAATTGCGTCCAGAGAAAATTGCAGAATTACCATAACTACTGTTCAAAGTGATAAGTCAATTTATCCCCACTGTACTCTGATATTGTATTTGCTTACTGACAAGCATCCTGTTAGTGCGATCGTTTAAAATGGATTGCTAATGCTCGTCACTTGAGCAGTAAACTGAGTGAGGCACCAGCAGTTGACGAACCCGACGCGACACCTATGCCATGCCATTTTTTAAGCGCAAGGTTACCTCTGAACTTCACTAACAAAATATTAGACGCGGCCTGCTTTTGTCCTCCATAATTCTGGCACAACGACACACTCGTCTCGTGTACTCTGCACGAACTTCCTAGGAGCAAAGCGGGATCGTTTAGTAAAAGCTGGCCACACAATCGTCGTATTCGTTTAGTCCATAACATTGTCTTAATGAATACTGTATAAACGGCACACAGTCCTACTATGTTCATGTAGACGGGTCTATTAGCTAGGAAAGTATTATGGTTGTGGTGAAACATGACAATGGTTCGCATTTGCAACTGCGGGGCCTTTCATATCGCATACTTGCTGGGTAAGCGGTTG